TGTTAAAACTGTTTGAAAAGCTCAGCTATACAACAAGGAGAGATTGAGAATTTCCTTTTAGTTCTCAGTTTATTTGATATTGACAAAAGTTAGTCAGTTTTGTCTGTTCTTCTGTAAAACAAACTAAGATTTATTTTTAGAATTAATATTTTGTTTCTAAGTGGAATTGACAATTTAGTCTGTTTCGTTTGTTCTATTTTGAAACTTAAACGCTTTAGCGGCTGCCTTTTGTGTAGTTTGCAATATTTGCCTTTATTTATCTGAAAAAGTCTCATGTTCCTTAAGTACATCTACCCTGTTGAACTTATTATGGGAAATAAATATTTAAATAAAAACAAGCTGCTGATTATTTCACATTTTACTTGTGAGCAACGGCACATTTAAATCTTACAAATATAGTTATTTGGCTTATATCGTGATAGATATCGTTATCGCCTGAAATGAAAAAAACATATCGTGATATGAAAAAATCTCATATCGCCCAGCTCTAGTCTAAAGGAACATGTTCAAATTTAGGATCTGAAGTTTGTATTTTAACATTGGGGTTGAATTTTGCCCCCAAATGTGGGCGATAAGCAGCAGCAGTGTATTCTGAGCAATGGTTAAATTAAGCACATACATTACATAAGGTCCCACAATATCAGTCACCATATGTAAAATTTGGCAGCACCTTATGATAAGAATCATCAATAAAAGGTGTTTTTTTTTTTAGGTTTATCTGTAAACATCATTGTCAGGTTTGAAACTTGTTTAAAAGGGCATATTATGGGCCATGTGATATGGCAGTGATAAATCACAAGACGGTGAACTCAGACCGCTCTTCTTTTCCTGTTTCAGCCACTGTTTACTTTCATTTTCACTTGCTTATCTACTTTTGCTTTCACTAACAGCTGAGTTTGGTCAAAACTCACGGGTCAACTTTGAGAAGATGTTGTGGTTTGAGTTAAATGTGTCCATTCACAACATGAAGAACGGTTAACCCATGTGTCAGAATATCACGCTGAGCAGATTTTCCTATGCATCTAATCGTGCTGCAGCGGGGCCTGCAGTTCGGCAGCTGTGTTTGACTCTGTGGGAATGAGAGCGGGTCATCTTGTGGCCATTTTTCTGTGATGGTTTGACTGTTTAAGAAACCTTAACCAGTCCGTGCACGTCTCATTCACACATGACTTTCAACATGCCAGAAGTGTGAATGGAGACTGTGTCTTTGGGAGCTGACCGCAGCCACTTACAATAAAATGTGCTAACTTTGTCATTAGACTATTAATAAGAATTTCAGCACTCGCTGTTATGTGTATAGCACGTGGCTTTCTTCAGCATTTCGGATACACATGTGGGTGTAAACCTCTATGAGTAAAAAAAAACCCCCAAAAATCATTACGAGTACAGGATGGAAGGAATTACGCAAGATCTACAGACATGTCTGTGCTCTCCACATGTTCATCATAAAGAAACAGGACAAGGACAATTCCTTATTTCATCCTCCAGGATGCTGTCTGCACATGATATAGCCTGTTGGATAAATCCCCACCAGGCTGTGTAATTATTGAGTGCACTTTTTGTGTGTGCATGTGTGTAATGTGCATTATAGACTACCTGTTGCCACATTGAAGTAGTTATTATTACTAAGGCCACATAGAAATGTGTCCATACACACTGAAATGAGCAAAAGTGTCTTTAGATTAATAAAAAACAAACTGAAATGGCACGTTGAGCTCAAACAGCTGTTGTTTTGTCAGTTTGATGAAACTCACAACCCAGATGAAGAACAACAGTACAGACACACGTGTTTATTGCAAGGACAGAATAAAACCTGGGCGTAGCTTCGGGGTCAGAAAAAGGAAGCCTGCGTGGAAGTGCATCAAAGCTGCGTTCTATCTGATTGCTGCGGTTGCAAAAAGGCTTCTGGTTCTACAGAAGTCTGTGAGCCGTTTCCTGCCCAGTTTCCGGTTCCAGTTACTCATTTTGGTTCATTAAAAAAAAAAAAAAATCCATTCTGAAAATATTTCAAAATGGAGGGTTTGTGTTGTGAAACCACACATTCATTGGCTAACGAGTGGTCAATTACAAGTCTTGTTATTTTTTTTAAGGTGAAGGTGATGAAGAGGCTCATCTCTCAGTAACTACAGCCATCTATTATGGAGCTGTAGTTTACTTATTTAGTGCTTTTCTACTCTAAGTGCTTCTTAGTTCTTCTTTCACACGTTCATACAGTGCATTCATTCATTTGAGGCACTCACTCTGTTACCAGTTATAAATTATAATGAAATAAAAAAACGAAACTGAGCAAAAATAAGTCAAACTCTTTAATAACTGTTAACAAACGATTTAACAGCAGATTTGAGACTTTTCTGCGCGTGACTGCTCGCCTGTCGGATCAGTCCAGCATTCACGTATCAGGAATTTGTCATAGTTCATTAGCTTACCAGCGGTGTGAGTGGTGTTTAGTGAATGCACATAAATGTGTGTTTGCAGCAGGATCCACACGACAGCTGGAAACAACGAGCTAAACTTCAGCTGCCGTTAATGTTTATTCACCGCAGGTTATTTTCATTACTGGGAATCGACAGTAATCTGACCCATATTTGGTCTTTATTGTGGTCAAATTTAACTGACAATTTACTCTGTAATTGATGTGAAATTGTAGAGCAAAGTTTCTGACTCCAGACATTTCTGTTATTTTTCAGACATGCATATTTGGATATTAGTGGGTCACTTCCTGGCCCGTTGAACATGCATAGACACCAGGGTTTCCTCTCATTTGTTTTGAGCTGCTAAACTGAAAGCAGGTGTCTCATACCAAAGGTCAGACCTGCATGTGGGTGTAAACTGCATGGTTTTGCTTTTTGTAGAGCAGGCTGATGGGGGTGAGCAGAGGCATAATATCTATCCATTTCTTCCCCCTAAGACCCGTCTGGAAATGAATCTGACGATGAGCAAACTCCTTCTGGGCTAAGCTGCTAAGAGCCAGTCTGAGGAGGTTGGAGTCAGTTGCTACCTGCAGACGAGGAGAGCATCGACACACTCGAGTGCGCGCATTAACGAGGCGTCTGGCCGTTAAACTGTCAGTGTAGCATCTCCACATGGAGCAAGCACCTGGGCTCCCAGATCTCCTTTTCTCCTTCGGCTTCTTGTGTCTCAGTGTCAGTTAGGATCTGGATTCACCCACTGCATCCAAGCGTGAGTACGGATAAGATGCTGTATCAGCAGAAAATGGAAAAATGCAGACGTAAAGCACCGCGTTGTAGATTGATCCAGCCCAGGTCAGGGAGTGCTAACTGCGGGATCTTTCGGTCCCTTTTGCAGCAGTGGGCGTTTTTGGCTTTTCAGTGGCCGGTTGCTGTTGAAGAAGTATGAGGTCATCTGTGTTTGAACAGTTGATCATCCTGGAGTGCAGATATATGCAGGTATTTCTTATGAATTTCCCGCTCTGAATGTTGTTGACAGCTGCACGTCGGCTGAATGGACAGAAAAATGCACATAATCAGGTTTACAGAGCGAGCGCTCTGGTGTTGCCGAAGGGGAGAAAACAAAGGCCGAGGAGGATGATGAACTGATCTCTCATCCTGAGCTATGTTAAGAAGTTAAGTATGCTTTCATCTTGGGGTACGCTCCACTGCCAGTGAACCCATCCTCTGGAGCCTCATGAGTCTGCTCTGTGCTGCTCTGAGCTTCACTCAGACTCCACTGTTACACAAGTTTGCACAAATACAGGGAGTTGCAGCAGATATGTGATTTACTGCAAGTCAAACAAAAATGTCATCTTGAGGTTTTTGCTTCTAGAAGTGTCGAAAGAATTCTTCTCTTGGTTTGATGTCACAGATCTTTGATATTTGTTTGTATTGAAGTTTTAAGACAATCTCACAGTTTTGCAGTCATTGCAGGTAAAATGTAGTCATTTGTATGACTCTCAGACTTTATTATGAACAACTAAAATACATATACCGGTACAATGTTGCCAGATTGTGTAGTTTCAACCCACATCTTGGCAACCCACAAACCAGTTCAAGGAGCTAACCTCTGCACCGGCAGACAGATCAGGTAGACGATGAAGAAATCGTTGCTTCCACACTTCAGCTCTGTGTCACATGTGCAACAAAGTTGGAAAGATTTTCACCACTTTGAGTTTCATTAATCAAAAATCCCTAAGTGAAACATGATGCAAACAAACAGTCCATTAAGTGAATTAAAACCAAATTTCTCATGAAGTTGGTCATGGTCCAGGTGGGACCGCTAAGGATAAATTCATTGAAATCACTTCATCTCAGAATCTTCAGGAATGCTGAGAAGGCTGAGAGGTGGCAGGCTGGTGGATTGTTGCTGAGCCAGCAGTAATGAGCTTGTACTGGACTGCTGTGGTGATGAGAGCCTGTAACCTGTGAGCTCCGGGTAGTCACCAAAAGAATAGGGTTGCAGGCACGAGCAGGACGAGCTTCGGGGTGACGGAGTAAGGGCACTCAGACATGCTGAGGGAGCTCGGAGTAGAGCCGCTGCTCCTTCATGTCTAAAAGAGCCAATTGAGGTGGTTTGGGGCACGCCCAGCTGGGACGAGACGCCAGCAGGAACTGCAAAGTGCTGCTGGGGACAAGGACGTCTAGAATGCCCTGCTGAGCCTGCTGCCACAGCAGCCTAACTTTGGATAATTGGAAGATAATGGATAGGTTTTGCTTGTCAACAATTAGTTTGGGGGGAAAAAAAGCTTTTGCTGTTCTTTCACTGGGAGACAGAAATAGACTCTGTCTCCCTCTGCCTCCTTTCTCCTCGTTCGTGCAGAGCTGCACATGCACAGCTGCCCTGTTGTATCTGAGCAGCTCGCAGCTCCACAATTAACTTGTACCATTAATGCTGGCGGTCAGTGTGGCTTGAATCATCGAGCTGTATCAAATACTCCCCAGTTGTAGTCAGTGGTTCTGACGACGTCTCCTGGTGTATTTTATTTCAAACTGTTCATGCGGCTGTAACTCTCACAGCTTCTCGTGTTGTTTTGTGTTTGTTTTCAGGTAAGAGGAAGCGGGTGCTCAAGCTCCCCAAGGAGGCGTTTGAGCAGGCTACCAGTACCAGCTCAGTGTAAGTGTCATTTCTGCAGAATGTTACTGAAACATGCACGCATGCTTCTATCTGTGAGATTATTTATCCCGGTTTGCACGTCTGACCCTTTCTTAAATCAAGTCAGAAGGCTGAATATGTGAAATGAAAATCTGTGCAGCAGCAGGAAATAGGAGGAGGAAGTTACGCTCCCACTAATACCATCTTTCTCTGTAAGCACGCTTTTACAGTCAGCCACACCCTCAAGCAGCGTGTGAACATGAAAGAGTAAATTTCTTTGGTCTTAATTACCCTGATAACTGCACGTTCTCGCCACAATAAAAGCCTCTGTTTGGAGCTCTTTCTCCACATTTTGGATAACATGAAGCTCAGTCTGCAGCTGCCTTTTGATAAGAACAGGTTTTCTGCAACAAACAAAAAGAGTTAGTGTTCAGTGTATTTTTAAAGTGAGTCCTCTTCATTAAGAAACCTGCAGCTGCAGAGGCGTTTCTGGTTCAGAGCCAACTTGTAGATGAAATGTCAGAAACACTGTGGCTGCATTATTGTGTTTAACTGTGCTTCTCATTGTTTTTAAATTACAAAAGTATCTGTTTAATAGTGTAGTATTTTTCTGCTTATTTTAATTTCTTATTTTGTGTATTGCATCTTATTTAATATATCTAATTAATCTAATATTTTTATATAGTTTTGTTATTAGTTGTTTACTATGTTTTTTTCACTGTAGTATAAACAGGTTAAGCGAATAGTATAAAGCAGGGATGTCGAACTCCTGCAGGTTTTAGAAAACACCCTGTGTCAACACACCTGGATCAAAGATTAGTTCATTACCAGGCCTCTGGAGAACTTCACGACATGTTGGTCGTGTCCAAATTCATGGGCTGCATCCTCCTGAGGACCCGGCCTTCGCGGTCTACGTGGGCCGGGTCCTCAGAAGGTCGGGTAGGCCGGAAGTAAACGGCTGTGAAATGGGACGGTCTAGCCTTCTGATTAGCGTCACCGCTGTCTCTGTGGAGTTTAATAAACTCGGCCGTCTGCTCCTTGCTATCTAAAATATAACAGGACACTGGCGTAAACTCTCGACTGTCTCATACTTCTGTTTAATCAGTTTTCTGTTTGACGTTTATTCAGCTGTGTAAAAATCAAGGAGGAACCCACCCGGGGGATTAATAAAGTTTTATTTTATCTAATCTAATCTAATCTAATAATTTTAATCTCAGCCAAACCGATTTACTCATGAACAAATAAAACACTGAAAAAAGCCCAACAATAACATTTTTAGGTTGTCTAAGTGACTTATATATTACGTTTAACCCGAGCAGCGAAAGTCCGCGGTGATCTGAAAATGATGTGCCGGGAGTTGTGCCGTTCTCGGCCGCATCAGTAACCCTCGAGCTCCCGGCTAGCTGTCGAGCTGGTGGGTAGCAGACGTCTCCGAAAACGTCGAAGCACTTTTGCAAATATGTCGTATCTATAACCGAGCAAATATTTGATGTTTACACAACTACTTTCGCCTGAAAATATGTTAAAAGTTTATTTTGTGACCCAGGAAGATTAAGTAATGAGTAATTTTAAAACTTAGGTACGCCTCGTGATTTGTTTTTTTTTTTTTTTTTTTTTTTTTTTTTTGCCTGTCCCGTTTGGCTCTTTTGCATCAGAATTGTTGTCTAAAGGCAAAGAAAGATCCCAACGGATTTACTTTACCAAACTGACCATCCCAGCCTTGCCGTAATGGTCCATTTGATTCACCTTTTATTGTTTATTTTATTTTCACTTACTGAATACGGGACAGACTTGACTGGGGGAAAGAAGGGGAGAAAGAAAGAGGGAAAGAGAAACAGCTGAGAAGAGGGACGGGGGAGAAGGGCAAAAGACAAAAACCAACAGAACGGGCAGAGAAAAAAAATGCATATATCAATCACCTGGATCACCTGCTGAGAAAGAAAAAAAGAAAGCAAGCAGAAGAGAACAAGAGTAATAGAATAAACAACATCACAATGATATATGGGAATATGACAGTAAATACTAAATATTAAACATTATTGTGCAGCACATAAGATCAACAGAACACAGTGTGCTTTGAGGTAGGAGCCAAAAAGGGTGTAGTTTGTGGGTGTGATCACCGTGTGTACACCTGTGAGCATGGACGCGCTTGTTTTTTTGTTTTTTTTAAAAGGTTCCTTCATGTAATAATCTGCTAGAGGGTGTGGGGGGGCCACAGCCCCGTCCTCCAGGGCAGTGAGGCAGGTAGTGGAGGAGATCAAAACTCCAGACATCCAGAGGCCCCCAGAACACAAGAGACCAAGGAAGACCAACAGAGGGGCAGCCGCGCCACTGTCCCGGAAAGAGCTGAGGAGAGTCCCAGATGAGGGCTCACTCAGCAGCTGCGGAGCAGAAGCCAGGGGGAGTTGCAGTGACGCGCCCGTGAGCTCCGCCGGCAGCCAGCCGCGCCTGAGTGACCGAGCCCCAGGCCGAGAGGCCGGGGGCACCCCACCTCCGAAGTGGCCCGGGCGAGCCCCAGGCTCCAGGCCCCGATAAGCGGCCGCCAAGGAGTGAGCCGGTGTGTACCTGGACGCCCATCCCCGGACACAAAGAACCACCAACGCACCGATGTCTGAGGGGTCCGCCACTGGCAGGGGAAGTGGTGGTAGGGGGAGATAGGCCTCCAAACCTTGGAGGGCCTGAGATGTCCCCAGAGAGGTGGCGCCTGACTACCCAACCTGACATATAGACACAGACATACAGGCACACACAGACACAAACATCCATTCCCACCCTCATGCTCTCATATGCACTCTACTCCACACTCAACCAACGTGGAGACAGACATAAAGAGACGCTGTACACACGATCACACTCCCCAAGCGTACTCTACAAACCGGGTCTAGGTACCCTTGCCCCTGGAGGGGGGAACTGCACCCAGACCCAGGTGGTGTTACCCTTTTCCCTGCGGTGGGGAGAGGCAGACCGCCCCGACTCCGCAGCAGCAGGAAGGCCCCACACTCCAGACCGCAGTCGGACGGCCAACTCCTCCTCCTAGCCCCCCCGCTCCAGCAGGTCGCAGAGAATGGGGGTGAGAGAAGACTCCAAACCTCCCTCCACCGCTCATTGTAGTGTTGATGCATGTGTGTTCTAAGGTGCATTTAAAACCCAGGAGGGCATGGAGCTACCTGCCAGAGAGCAGCAGGTAAGCGCATGGTCCCTCCTGCTGGCCCTCAATGTCTACGTGTATTTAACAATTGAGAGGTGGGCAACGACTGCCAGGGGTGGGTGTACACCCTGATGGTACTTTGGACTCCGTGTATCGTGCCCCCCCAAGATCCTATATGTATGTGTAATGAGAGTGTGAGTAATGTGAATGTCTAAGTTGTGGGATAAAATTGAGGCAGAGGCAGCCAGAAGGGGACAGAGGGGGGGGTAGCCTCCTCTGCACCCTGGTGACATACCCCTACTCCAAGGCCCTGCATGTGTGGGTGGTTGTGGTGGAGCGGGAAGGAGGAGCTGAGATGAGCGGCCGCCATTGCTGGAAACTGGAGTTTGGCTGGGCCGCGCTATGAATTCTGGGATATGGTGGGCCACGAAGGACACACCCGACCCATCCTTCAAATTCGGGGAAAAGGAGGACGCATTTGTCGGCTGCATTCGGAGGAGTCTACGAATTTGGACAGCCTTCGGCGCGTCGCTGTGACGTAATCGGTCTACAAATGCGGCCTCAGGAGGACGCAGCCCATGAATTTGGACACGACCGTTGAGGAGATTTAGCAATTTTAATCAGCTGTGTTGGATCAAGGACACATCTAAACCCTGCAGGACACCGGCCCTCGAGGCCTGGACTTCGACACCTGTAGTATAAAGGATGGACGCAGTTTCCAGTCCTGAAAAGTGGAGCTCTCTTCCACAGCATGTCTTTATCCTGTCTTCCTTCTCTCACCCTAACCAATCACGGCAGATGGCCCCGCCCCTCCCTGAGCCTGGTTCTGCTGGAGGTTTCTTCCTGTTAAAAGGGAGTTTTTCCTTCCCACTGTCACCAAACTGCTTGCTCATACAGGGTCATATGATTGTTGGGTTTTTCCCTGTATGTATTATTGTAGGTTCTATCTTATAATATAAAGCGCCTTGAGGCGGCTGTTGTTGTGATTTGGTGCTGTATAAATAAAACTGAATTGAAGCCAGGTCTTGTTACATCCTGTCTCAAAACCAAGATCGTAAAAATACTCAGTTTTAGGTTTAATACCAAACAGATGTTGCTGCTTCCATCTCTTATATACAGTCTGTGTTCTCTCCACTGGCTCTGATGGGGAAAAAGCTCAGTTATTTATTTCAAGATTCTGACTTTTTCAAATTTTAATCGCTGCTCCCAAAGCAAAGGACATTTACCTTACAATACGAAGCACTCTGAGGCGACTGCTGTTGGAAGTAAATAACATAAAATTGAAGTGAATTGAAAGCCAGAAGCATCTTTTCATAGTTGGTGTTTTTTGCAGAAGAATAAATTCTGCTGTTTTGTGCCTGAAATGTGCGACATGTCCTCTAAAGAACAGTTTAACCTGCTCATATGTAACCAAATGTTTTTGTGTTTCAGACCCCCCAGAGATTTGGATTCGAAAGCTTGTGTAACAATCGGAGAGAAGGTAATTTTATTCCTTTGGCTCATTTACTGTCTTCTTTTCCACCTTTCCTAATCCCATTCAGGGTTTGATGCTTGTTTTTCCTCCTCTCGTCGCGGTCTCTTACATAACTTCTTACTTTTTTCCTCCTCCCAGTGTAATTTTGGTCGATCCACATAGGTTGGCTTAATCGCGGCTCTGTTGGCTGTAAAGAATGTCCTGATGAACATTACAGCCGAATTTAACACTTCTGATTGTGGTTAGACTGGAATGCTTTTTATTGCCCATCAGGCAGTAAAAATATTTATTTTAAACTCCTCAAATAAGTGGAATTTTCCATTGGCAGGGCTGGCTGCTCGTTCTCTGTTCGAGTTGGCCACAAGTCAAAGAGATTTCTTTTTTTCTTGTGTTTGAACAATTGGAAACAAAAAGAATTAGGAAGTATCCCGCTGCATCGTGGAGGAGACTTTTGCATGGCTTTTAAAGAGACATGAGAGATTCCTCGCCCTGTGGGTTTGGTGTCCACTGGAACTTGTCCTCCATTTGTGCAGAATTTCGAGGTGAAGGCAGATGACCTGGAGCAGATCTCCGAGCTCGGCAGAGGAGCGTACGGCGTGGTGGACAAGATGAGACACGTGCCGAGTGGCCTGATCATGGCTGTTAAGGTAAAAGGAAAGATGATTTCCAGACTTCAGGAATGTTTATTTAACCACGAGCCCATTAAAGCAAAGTGACAAACACACAAAACACACTCGCTCCTCACCTGATGCTCTGCTTTTGGAAATGGAAATGGAAACTGCTCGTTTTATAAATGGAGATCCAGTTATTCCATGCAAAAACTGCAGAGCGCACAGGGAAGGAGGTCAGGATGGGACTCTCATCATCATCTCATCATGATGTTAATGATGATGATCAATCCGTAGGCCTGCAAAACACCTGTACATCAAACCAAAATACAAACATACTGATATATATATACACACATACATGCGCAAACACAGTCGACACAATCTACATGACATAAAATAACAACTCAGTCCTGGAGTAGGAAGATGTATGCACCCATTAATCCACTGTTGAGTTACCATGTGCGTCACACTTGGCCCAGAAAAACAGAGACAACAGCAAAGAAAAGTCTGTGTATAAATATAAATATAAAGGTCAGTATAAATATGTAGACTTGAAAATTACAAAACTGTTCCCTAGTTTTTGTTCCACAAATAGAAATACAAAAGGTTTAATCTGTGGTTCCCCCAATCTGTGTCAAAAATCTGAATCTGTGCGTTCAGCAGTTTTAGAGTTTATGAAGGATTTTTGATTCCTGCTTGATTAGTGATCCTGATTGCTGTTCTTTGAAATGAGCATAAAAGTGCAGTTTTGTGTGTGTTGACCGCACACATCACTCTACGTATGGCAGTGAACAGTAACGTATGTGGAGTGGTTTGTAAAGCAAACCTAAGGATCTTGTGGACATTTGTTGGGTTTCTCCTGCTGGGCTGACAGATCAGGTGTTCTTGGCCGTCCAGCTGCCAGGTTACTCTGACTCTGAATTCTGATTTTGTGTTGGTGTCAAACCTTTTTTCTCTTTTTTCGTCACCACCTTGGGTATTAAAGCTGGAGCTTTGCTTTTATTTATTTACCGACCATTGTTACTCCAGAGGAAACACTTTGCAAATATCCTTCCTGGGCATTTATTGCTTCATTCATTCTGTTGCATATTTCTCTTGCATTAGTTTTTATTGCAAAGCTAAAACACATGAGTTTATTTATTATTTAATTTCAGTTTATAATGATAGTGATTGGATGGTGTAAATATTGTATTTCTCTGCTCCTCATTATGTGGTATGGGGAACTGAAAAGTCAAAGTGAAAAGCTGAGGTGGGGATGTAATCACATTCAGACTCCGTTTAGTTTTACTTGATTTTAAACTTTGACTTGAGCTGCTCTGCTCTTTCCCCTCATCTGCAGTTTTTGGCCTTTCTCTAATCTCTAACCCAGATTAAAAAACGTCATGTCTGCCGTTCACCTCACGACCAGCAGTAGGATAATGCTACCTGTGAAGAGGCTGCACATTTCTTGCCTGTCTCCCTGCTGACATCACAAAGTGCGACTGCTTTCGCTCTGACGGTTTGCTTCTTGTCATCCTTCCTCAGCGCATTCGGGCCACGGTGAACACTCAGGAGCAGAAGAGGCTGCTCATGGATCTGGACATCTCCATGAGGACAGTGGACTGCTTTTACACCGTCACCTTCTACGGAGCACTATTCAGAGAGGTAGAGTCACAGAAAGGCTGCTGCTCGTTATTCATTTTCTTTGTGCGTTCGTGGCAGTGTGTCTTTTTGGAGAGAGGAGTGAAGGAAAGTATTTTAATATATTCCATAGTGCAAAAACAGTGAACTCTCCGTTGTTCAACCAGTCAGGACAGAGTCATTCAAATCTCTCACAGAGCGGTCTTGAAGAAGTAATGGATATAAAGACTGAAACAGTTTAAGAGTGGGGTCGGGGGGCACCTCTGCAGACTGTCTGATGCAGAAACTTCCTGCAGCAGTGAGTGGATGTTCAGGATTTCCTCACTGGGTCTGAATCACTGGAAAATCTGTCACTTCCTGTCTGTTTGGAATCCGGCCGGCGCCTTTTTGTTCTGCCGTTTTTTCCCCTTTTTTTTTGTCCTGATCTGTTTCCAAATCTGCCTGTCTGTTGCCAGGGCGACGTGTGGATCTGCATGGAGCTGATGGACACCTCCCTCGACAAGTTCTACAAGCAGGTGATTGAGAAGGGCCTGACCATCCCCGAGGACATCCTGGGAAAGATCGCTGTCTCAGTAGGTTCACTTAAAGCGGCATAATGTGAATGATTAAAATTTAATGCGAACACTCAACTTAGCTTAATGACACATACGGGTTATGTAACGCTCATTTGCTTATTGATGGCCTTTCTCATTACAGATAGTAAAAGCTCTGGAGCATCTCCACAGCAATCTGCAAGTCATACACAGAGGTAAGAGCCTTAGATTGGAGACCCATTAAACTCTCACTGCCAATTTCCTCTCAGCTGCACGCGGCTGCTTCTGTTTTCCGCTTCCATTATCCCTTCAGACTCTTGCCAGATCTTACTGGAGAGCCACAGCAGTGCGTCTGTGTTAAAGCAGTTAAACGAGCATCCGTCTCTGGTTCTGGGTCAGAAAACGGTGGATTGCAGCCTCACGTGTGCGGTCGTCAAGCCGGCTGGTGCAGCCTCAGCAGCGATGGGGCGCTGAACTGGACCGAGTGCTTCAGACCACTCACCTGGCGGGGCTGCATATGACAGCACATGTATCGAGCGCAGTTAGATTGAACGTTAGCTGTTGGATTATTTAAGACAATAACACGATTCTGCTAAATTTATGAAAATGTTCTTTTTGTCCTTGGAGTGAGTACATCCCATTTTGGGTTATTTAGACTGAAATACTCAATTTTGCTCTACATGGGCCTGATATCCACTGACGAGGACATTATCCTGCTACTGTTCTATCAAAATTTTAAACGAATATCTTCATATGTGGCTCTTATTTTTCATAAAGACAAAAATAAGGTAAAAAAAAAAAAAATCTGGTAATTCTTTGTTTTTACATTCATTGGGCCCCAATATGCCCAAATAGCAAAGAGAAATTAAAAATGCATGCCGTGGAAGAGTTCGGGTCTTAGGAGGTTAAAGGCCAGTCTGTGAAAATATTGTCGGACATAAACTGGTCCATGGTGCATAAAAGGTTGGGGAACTCTGGGTTAAAGCATCATCGCTGCCTGATCTGCACTGGAACACAAACGCATCTCAAAATACGCACAAATTATTATTATGTTCAAATCACTATCATTACAGAGACGATGCTGATATGATGTTGTGTTGAAATGTAAAAGAAGGCCTAAATTAGTTGAGGTTTGTCAATAATTTGAACAAATCTTTAAAATAAAAATGCTCAGATTTTTCGTAAATAAGCAAAGAGTTTTTATTTACTTTGTGCTACTAATTCTTACTTTGTGCTACTAATTCTTACTCTGCTTTGCAGTTCATAGAGTACAAAGTTAGCTTCCTAGATATTAGTGACCAAAACAGTCTTTAGTTGTTAAGAATAAAAACACAGTTTATGTCACGTCATGTAATAATGATGTTTTCACGTGTTGGGAGAATCGTTGCACCACTTATCATTAAATGTTAGTACGTTTTTGTCAAAATAAATTATGAAATTCTTAAATAGCTTCACAAATATGTGATAAATGAAGCGTGGTTTGTACAATGGCTATCTGTAAAATACACTGATACATGATGTTGGTGTTCGCTGCAGTGGATAACAAACAAAGTTTTTTATTTTTTAAATTTTGCTTTTGTTTTCAGTTTTTTTTTAACTCTATTATTTTTCTCTAATTATTTTTGTATTTTTATCAAAGTATTTTGTGATAATTTTTTCTTTTTTTCCAGTATGTTCAGGTAAACAAAATACATATTTTGCTACGTTTTGCAAGCACCTGACTTTAAGCCTGGTAGTTTTTCACTTCAGACTTGTCATTAATTTAACATTTTGTTAAATGTATGAAATAGATTTAGTTAAAACACACATTTGAGGATGTGCAGCAGAAGCTTTGCTGAACTAATATGTTGTAGCCACAGAACTAAATCTTACAAACCTCATGCTGGTATTTTAAGAGTTGATCCTTCCTGTGTCAAACCTCTGTTACCACCGTGTTACTGTTGTTGGGTCAAAGTTGTCAAAGTCACCGTTAAAGCAGCTATACGTCACAGAAATGAAGACACCCGTCGGTCTGTAACAGCGACCGCAGTCTGCAGCTAGGTCAGCCAGCTGCTCTCTCAGAGGGAAACAGAACTAACAGAGCGACTGTTCGCTAAAAGTCCTGTTTGTTTGGCCGTCTTTCCAGATGTGAAACCCTCCAATGTCCTGATCAACACTCAGGGCCAAGTGAAGATGTGCGACTTTGGCATCAGTGGCTACCTGGTGGACTCTGTGGCTAAAACCATGGACGCTGGCTGCAAACCCTACATGGCGGTAAGCAGCGCGATGCTTTAAGGAATGAAGTGAAAATAAATGAAGTGTAAAATAAAATTCTTTCTGTAATTAAAAGTTTAAAAAGTCCAGTGTGAGCTTCCTAAAGAGCCACCAAACACAGCTCAAAATCGTCTCACTTTGTTGATTGTTTGATTGATATTATTTTGTTATAACGTCCAACGTGAAGTTGAGTGTGTGAGCTGACAGCTCCATGCAACGATACGACGTCTGCTTGTCGTCATCCGAACGCCATTTCTGGAAACTTTCACGATGTTCTGTGGCGAGATCGGACAGTGCAAACATCAACTCTGTTTAATTTATCTTTACTAGTTATGAACGCTGGGCCTCCCAATACGACCACGCAGTATTTATCAGTCCAAACTTTCCAAACCGGAAGGTAACTCAGCAGGTGAGGAGCAAGACCAGGAGGATGCACAGTGTCCAGTTGTTGTCCAGACGAATCATGACTTTGAATCAGGAGGAGAGCCCGATGCACTCACTGCAGGGGCACAAACACGAGGAGACATATGAGGGCTTCAATGACGCGATCTAAAGACAGCAGCTGTGTCCAGAGATGCAGGAGAAGATGACCATGAGCAGGAGGTTCTTCAAGTTTAAAACACAAAGGCTTTGGATTCTTGTAGGACAAGTACTGAAACTTTTACACCTGTTAAGGAATCAGAAGTAGTTTACAAATGGAAACTATATGAAAAACTTAAAATTTATAGGTATTATAGACATTTTTTTAGGCTTTTAGCGTCATTTTGTTTGTGTACCTGTTGTTACGTCCCAAACACCCCCCTCCCTCCTCCTGCTCCCTGTTATGCATGCCGGTGATGTGATCGTCCGTTCGTCTGGATTCTAAAATGGACTTTGACAGTCAACGGTCACTTTGACCTTACAAAACACAACTCAGGAATTCATACGCTTTAGCCAAACGTCTCAGAGTTTTAACATTTACAAAAAGTTCACAGGTCATTTTACTGCGACGGCGTTCTGCAAAAGCACACAACTCGGGAACAGCAGGCGAGACTTTGACCTTATTTCACAATTGTTTGAATACTGATTTGGTGGCCACCTGTTAAATGCCTTCAAGCCTCGCTCGCTACATGCGTTTTATCATCTGGAAAGGCAATAAATATAAACCGCAGCAGGTTGGCTGATGCATCTAACTACGAGGCAGTAATTCTACACTTTACTAAAACTGAAAGCTTGGAAGCGTTTGATTGTTATAGGAGTGTGTGTGTCCTTGTAGACAAGAGAAAACTACAGTGTAATTGAGAGAAACGTGGCTCTGTTTTCCTGGATTGAAGAAGCGACTCTTTGGATTTCCAGGAAAACTTTCTTATAAAAATGAAATAATGCTGCGTCTTTCGGAACGATCTGGATAACTTAAAATTCCAAGAAAGCCTCCCAGTTTACGCAAGGATCCAGTCTCATGGAAGCACATAATGGCCAGCCTGTTCAGTTTAACCAGTGTTCTTGACCACCGGAGGAAACATTCGTCTCACGCACCTCATTCAAACATCATTTGGTACGCTTCAAAGATTTAAGGTTATGCTTCTAAAATACATTTTGGCCAATACTTGGAATCACAAAGAATTAAAGGTCAGGCTGAAGAGCAGCAGCACCTGGATTTAGTCCATGCAGGTCAGAGAAACTAGACAAAGATTGTTAATAATAATAAACACGTTACATACATCGCCAACTTTAAGCTGCTGCCAATCAGCTGTTTTCCAGATAAAAATCTGTTGGTGCTCGTAAAAGTAAAAATTCAGTCACTGGGTACATGCAGCCCCTGGACCATGACGGAGCCTCCACTGTGCTTCACAGACACTCCTGTTGTGCTTTATGTCTGTCAAACTTTCAAAGATTATTATAAAGAAATGTGAACAAATGTTTTTCTGTCTGCTAGCAACAAAGTGTCTACATACACCACTTAAAATTGGTTCTTTGCTAAGTTGTCAGTAACATGTAGACACCACACTGGTTCAGCCTTTGAATTAGGTGCCCTTTTTCATGCTTCATTTCACTTTTATTTATATAGCACCAGTTCACAACAAAGTGCTTCAGTGATTCATAGGTCAGTGTTCAGCTGCGTACCAAAAGCATTCCTCTGAAAATGGTCAGATACAAGGACTGGGCTGAAAAACGGCCAGTGTCCAAAGGAAACGCTAAAATATCTCCAGAGAGCCGGAGAACTATTGTTCAAGGCCGCTTTAAAAAAAATTACAAGTAAGTCTGACTGCCTGGATGGTTGTTAATGACACTGTTATTGCTGCAGTCTTGGTGTCTTCAGAGGTTTCTTTGAATGTGGAGGATTTGCGCTCATAAAAATGCAGCAGCACCCACGTCAGCCTGAATGTTGACGAATGTTACGACACGTGGATACGTGAGCAGGTATCCCGCTTTGGACGGACAACAAAGGGAAGTATTTTTACCTTGGGGGGGGGGAAACGTAGACCAGAACATACTTCCTGTCGGTTTTGGCTGCAAACGTAGATTTTGTGCATTAAAAGTGTCTTTAGATCTGCGACCCCGAGTCCCTCATTATCATCCACACGCATAATGAGCCAGTTACTCTTTAACCACTCGGCAGGCCGCTGGTTGGCTGAGGGTATTTAGAGCCAGGTACGTTGCTCGGTCTGTGTGTGCACAAGAGCTTTGGGATTACGGGGCAGCGGGGCTGGTTATCCTTGACAACGGCTGCAGTTATTGACATCATCATGTGACCTTCTGTCTGTCCACAGCCGGAGAGGATCAATCCTGAGACCAACCAGAAAGGCTACAACGTCAAGTCGGACATCTGGAGTTTAGGAATCACGATGGTAAAGCCGCCTCGCGCTCCTGCATACGTTTGTTCACCTTTTCTGCATCGCTGCAAAAAAACCACCATTATCAGTTAAAAATGAAAAACTCGTGAAATATTCATAGCTTTGCAGCTCAGGCCGGACCGAGGAGGATGTTGGCATCAAGGATTCAGCAGTTGACTCGCGCTCGTCTCTGCCTGTTCGATTGGCTGTTCGAGCAGCGAATGTTCCAGCACAGTCTGAATTTTAAAAGGGCACTAAATGGGTTTTAAATAAAAGAGGAAAATTGTGATTTCAGAGTAGTGGAAGTTTTTTGTAATAATTGTAAAATGAAAAATGAGTGGTCCCGACAGATTGAGCGATCAGCGTGTGGAATAAAACCTGCCGGGCGCTGATTGTTGGAGCACCTGTTGTTCCTCCAAAGCTGAACTGAAGGAGGTGAAGCAGCTGAGGAGGTTTTAGTGTGAAACTCATTAATGCTGCAGTAGCAGTGAGAGGAAAAACTACAGTAATGTTAAAAACGGTAACGGATGTTTGGGAAGCCACGTGTGTGCCGCTCTGCTGGAGATGAGTGGGATCTTTAGAGTGTGCTTGTTTTGGGGTCAGTCATTAAATGACGCTGCGACGTGGGATGGATTTGGGTGAAAAATCACATGAATGCAGCTGTGCAAATATGTTTGTGTCAGGTTATGTGTTTGTGCTCACTAAAGCACTAAAAACGCTCCTTGACCTCTTTGTTTTTTTGTCTTGTTTGGCTCAGATCGAGCTCGCCATCCTGCGCTTCCCGTACGACTCGTGGGGGACACCTTTTCAGCAGCTGAAGCAGGTGGTGGAAGAGCCTTCGCCCCAGCTTCCCGCCGACCAGTTCTCCCCTGAGTTTGTGGACTTCACTTCTCAGTGGTTCGTGTTTTTCTGGTTTATTTTCTTGCTTTGTCCAACTTTCTTCCAGCCGGATCCACGTCTCAGAATTACTCACAGATCTTTACACAGGAGAAGCCTGCAGAGTCGCGAAGCTGCTACAGATCACACCGAGAGATGTGTACTGATCCCAGCTGAGTGGGCTTCAGATGATTTCCCCTTTATTCGATTGGCTTCATTGTTGCTGTTTTTGTTATTCTTGTTTTCACAGGATGGGACTGTATCTGAATATGCTGTAAACGCGCAACTGTGCACTTTTTACGGATCCCTACGTATTAGTTTAATTACTCTAATTATGTAATTTTGTGCCACTGTAATTTACAAGAACTGAGCTGCAAATATTGTTTTGAGCATAAATGCTGTGTGAACCAGTGAGGGTGCACAGAGGTGAGGCGGGAGGCTGGCAGGTTTGGGGGTCATACGGGCAGGATAGCAGGAGAGCGCAGGTCGCTGTTAGCAGATGACTGCATGAATGTGAGACATGATGGCGGTAAAAATGAGGCGGTGGTTAGTTGGTAACGAGCAATAATAAATATTCTAAAGAGAAAAACACGGGTCTTTGAGAATGAACTGCTCAGGGGTTTCCATGTTTAATAGTTTTAATAGTCTCTAAACACTGAGTATAGTTTTTGATTATATTGTTTTTGTAATTGTTGGAAACGAAAATAATTATGTTTGAGATATTCATCAAGTTCCTGTTGTGAGTAAGAGCACAGAGAGATGGAGTATAAACAAAAGTAAAAAGAGAAAAGCGGGATGTCTTTGCGTTTGCGTATCGTTTTTGGATGTTTGTCAAAAGCCGAGCGGCTGTTTCGTGCATCCTCTTCTGTAACGTTACTCCTCCAAACTGTAACCGCACCATTGAGAACGAGATTATTGTGTTTGTGCCTCCAAGATCAGATCTTCTACATGCCAAAAAATCTTTGGTTCTGTTCTTTCTTTGTTGCTTAGTGACACATGCAGGTATTTGTGCAGCGAGAAGACGTACGGCGAGTGAGCTGAAAGGATTTTCTTAATTTAGGACGGGCATCACAACCTTGCCTTTAAGAAAAGGGAGGCCGTGATGATGCAGGTGTAAACCTCACCTTACTCCAGTGCAAATGATGTCCAGTCAGTCAGAAGTTGTATTCATGCATAGCTCTGGAAGTTCAGGAATTGCAGAGGCTGCTGTGATGCACAGTGATGAGGGTTCATGAAGTAATAATGTCGGCTGGTTAAATGGCAAATGGACTGATTCTTGTACAGAGCTTTTCTACACTCATAATTTGATGGATGCATTGGGGAGCAGCTTGGGGTTAGTATCTTGCCCAAGGATGTTTGGCGTGCAAGCTGCAGCAGCCAGGGATCAAACCAGCAACGTTCCGATCAGCAGATCTGCTCTTCCTCCTGAGCTACAGCCACCACAGTTGAAGAAGGAATGAGGAAGAAGTGCAAAAAACCTTCAGAGATTAAAAATCACAGATGAAAAGCAGATTCAGTGGACAGATTTGGTGATTTTTACCCTTCAGCTGTAAAAGGTTGATGGGGTATTGTTTCACTGGTGGGCCGGCGACATGGACACCTAGGTTTGTGAATGCAGTAACTTAAGCAGGAAGTCACCGAGGATTTTCAAAATTATACCACAGGTGTAGATACTAAAAATCCCGAAGTTTGAATCTCAGTGATCTCAATCTTTGTCCAAGTTTTCTGAAAACCTTGTGAATGCACTGACCTGAGAATGAGGTTTTATTTATACAGCGCCAAGTCACTGCAACAGACTCCTCAAGGCGCTTTATGTTGTAAGGTAGACCCTACAATAATACACACAGAGAAAAACCCAGCAATCAGATGACCTCCTGTGAGCAAGCACTTTGGCGACAGTGGGAAGGAAAAACTCCCTTTTAACAGGAAGAAAGGCTTATGGGTAGACTGGTGGTTGCCAATATTTTAAATACTGTTTCACTCCACCTGCACTGCAGCAACGACCAAGCTGAAAATGCAATAACATTTATTTAAACTTGAGTTAAAAGCAACTGGTCTGTTTTTTTAGGTACTTGAAGATGTTTCACACCAGAGAGGTTTCCTGAAAGCTGTTGGGTTGTCACCTTGGAGGTGGTCCAGGTGGATGTAGGGCCATCTTAAATCGTCTGTCTTCTCTGTCCAGAATGCAAATGTTTGGATGCTCAGGAGAGTCTCTTCTGCTTGTCAGTCCAAATATATCGCTGAGCTTTGTCCTGAAGATCTGACTCGTGTATTGTTCAGTTTTCAGTGATCAACTTTTAGATGATGTGAAGAAGTGTTTGGGAAGACAAATGAAATGTCTTCAGGAAGCTTAAAGAAGTCTGGCAGCCTTTGGAAGACTGAGAGCTTACAGTGGCATGCAACAACAGCTGGAACATTGACAAGAATATCTCCTGTTACCGGTTGTTCCACATAGAACTGAAATACCCCCCACCCCACCCACAACATGCTTAACATGCAAATAACTGAAGAACCTTAGTAATGTGGAAACTGCATAATTGTGGCAGTGATGTGAATACTGAACTCTTTTCGCCCAGCACTGCCAACACCCAGCAGACTTCTTCTTCCTGTCACTAATGTAAAGTGATGCTGCCTTTAAGCAAAGCCAAATTATTGAATTGTTTTTCTTTTCTTTGTAATGTTTTTTTTTTTTTTTGGCTTGTTTTGAACTTTTTGGGGGCCGGCTATTTGCTGGAGTAGTCCATGTTCATCTGGTTTCCTATGGGAGATTCAGGCTTAATGTGCAGCTGCTGAATGAACGTGATGGTCAGACGCCTGCCTGATGGTGTTCTGTGAATCTGGGTGAATCTGAAATGCTTACATGATGTACGGCTGCTGACCTGAAATAACACTCGATCACACTGAGAAACGAGTCGTCCTCCAGTTTCGATCATTGTTTCCTGGTGATATCAGAAAATGATGCCGCACTTTGAGCAGTACTCAGAATGCAGAAAGACACTGATGTGACTATGTTCTTTGGTGCTTGGGTGACTCATCGTGCTTGGTTGTATTTTTTCTGTTACCTTGAAACCCTCGGAGGCTGGCAGTCTGCGACTTCTCAGACGCTTTCATAGAATAACACTGAATCAGACGCTAGAACAGATCTGTGGCAAGAGTGGGGAAGTCCACCATTTAATCTTCATCTTTGCTTTTTTTTCTTCTTCTGCAGCTTAAAGAAAGTTTCCAAAGAGCGGCCGACTTACACAGAACTCATGGTGAGTGTTTCTGTGTTAACAGATTATAAGCATGACTTCCCTGCAAGCACCTTGTAATGCTGTTAATCAAACACTGGGGGGTGCACTTAGATTGTTATTTACAAACCCTGTATTTGACGCTTGAAGCCAAGATGCTTCACTGGTCTCATCCATGGAAGGTTTACTAAAGGTCCAGTAAAAGCTCAGAGTATCAGGGGGGTGCAGGTGTTTGAATGGCTGCAGCTTAATCAATTAAGCACAAAGAGACCCGAAATGGATGCAAACGAACAACAAAAGACACAAAAATGATTTATTTTTTTTAAATGTGCAAAATGACCATGAACCAAGACTTCCTACAAGCTCTAAATAAAACCCAAATGACTGGAAATTAACAGAAGACACAGAATTAAGAGCTGCAAAGTCACCAACAAAATGAATAGAAGCAAAATGATGCACATACATGTGAAATCGGTGCATAAGGGCAACAATCGGATTGTTTACAACTAAGATTCATGAACCGACTATAAACAAATACAAAATGTCCACATAAAGATGCAAATCGTGCCGTCGAAAAGTTGAAAAAAATTCAATTCAATATAATTTATATTGCGCCAAAGTATGGCAACCAGATACAAATTGACCAGAAAAGGCAACAAAGGTGTCACTACAAGAGATGACAACAAATGAGTGTAAAACCAAGTGTCAAAAACAAAAATCAGATTGAAAACAGGTGCAAAGAAATGCTCTAATGACCATAATTACAATGCAAACTGCAACACAACAACACGACAGCCTCAAAGTTCAAGGAATTGATGCTTTAATTGCTTTTTTCTGACTTGGCTCCCGACTAACTCGGTGTCCGTTTCCTCCTCAGCAACATCTCTTCTTCACCTCCCACGAGGCCAAAGAAACCGACGTGGCTAGCTTTGTGAAAGTCATCTTGGGAGACTGAGTGCACTGGAGGGAGGGGGAGGAATCTGTTAAAAAAGAGGAAACAAAAAAAAAAAATCCAAGAAAAAAACACCAATCGCAGCTCCCCCCACCATCCCATTTACCCGCAGGATTCCCTCTCACCCCTCCCTCCAGTGGCAGACAAACGGAGCCCAGAGGAACCGCTGACGAAGCAGAACGAGGAGTCTGTCCCCGCCCCCCACCTGGCCTCAGCCCCCTCCTCTGTGCATCACCTGGCACGGTGGGAGGAGTTTGGGAGACGGGAGCCTCACACAGAATCTGGAGTAATTTATGATGTGTGTATGCAAAGCCTCCCCGTTTGATTCGATTTGCCCCGCTGCTGCGCTCCTCCTCGAGCGCTGTTGTTAGCGCGCTGACTCTGTGGCCTCCACAAGGGTCGAGTCATAGTTTCTTTTTTGCTGAAAAGCAGAAGCGAGAAGATGTGCAGATTATATAAAAAAAAAGAAGAATGATATAATCTATCTGTGTATAATCTAAATGTTTGCATACTCGAAGCAAGTGTTGCATCAGATTATTAATTGACTGCATGTACAGAATTTCTCTCTGGGTAAAGACGGGCTCATGTGGCCAGTGAGGAACAGTTGGAGAGTCCGATTGTTGACTTCAGGGGCTCCCCCCAGTGGTCACAAAGAGGTACTGCACTTACACTGCTTTCCCCCCTGATTACAGTGGAGGTCAACTACACATTTTGGGCTCTTGGCTGCCTGTGAGCGTGAATGTGTGCGAGCTGGTGCATGACATGTGTGTGTGGGGCATGTTCACAGAGCTGCACGGCTCCAAATCCAAGTAGAAACGCAGTTTTCGTGCTCCGCAACATTTTTTTATGGATTTTCTGCAGCCTCGCTGCCCCTGTAAGAGCTCAACAGGCAGGGCAACACTCTTACGTTGCTTTAAAAGTACAGGCGACTATGCATCTGCACATCATGTTCAAATGTGACGGATGTAATAAAGAGCTTTATTTTAAAACTAGTTAGTATGGTAGTCTAGTACAAGCATAGACTGTATATTAAAGATGGAAATGGCCACCATGACACCACCGTGTCAGCAAGGTTCTGTAATTTGAAAGGCGTCTAAATAAATTTTGAAGTTGTGCTTTTTGATGTGACTGTACCCATGTGGTCGGGGTGCCCCATCAGCAAACTCAGCGATGACTGCTGGTTCAAACACGTCCATTTATTTTTAATGTATTTCTAATTTGACCCCTCAAAAGACCCCAAACAAAAGATGTGAGAACAATGAAAGTTGCGAATAGATATCAAACTGTTACACTTTACCGTGATATTGTAAAGTAATGTAGCCAAAAGCACCAAAGTCCAATAGATATGAGATTCTGAGGTCCAGCAGCTTTGGCTGGTTTGAAGCCACTGACTGCTCCGTCCCTGATCCTTCCTGCGTGAAGCTGAATCGCAGATCTTTGAGACAAAGCCGGAGCCGAGTCGCAGCCGTGCAGCTTCGTGTCGCTCACACACACACTTTAAATGTCGGGGTGTGTGTTTGCGTGTGCGTGTGGGCTGTGTGGGGGAAGATTTTCTCCTTGTTGTCTGTACTGAGCCAATCACAACCCTCTCCACTCACCATGAAAAGAACTGGATACTATTGCTATTATTATTATTATTATTATTAATATTAATTATTGTTATTATTTAGATCCAGGTTTTTTCTCCCCCCTTCGACATACTTACTGCAGTTTCTCTTATTTATTATAACTGCTGTTTTCCCTTTGGAAACTTGACCGAACCATTTGAGACTCTCCTCACGTGTTTGTGTGAGCTTTGTATGGTTTTTGTTTTTCTTTGTGTTTTTTTTTTGTCGTGTTCTTCTTGGCTCAAACACGTGAAATGCTTTTAATCTGTAACTTGCAAGCCTTCTGTGTGCCTCTATATAGAAACCCTCTAAGGAAAATGAGATGTTAAGAATGATGCAGGGATCCGCTCCCTCCCTCCTCACACGCTGCATGGCATCATAATCCCACTTTGTGTTCCTTGTTGTACTGTAGCTCATGCTCGTTTTTTTATGTTTTTATGCTTGTGTTCATCTTTCTCGTTGCCTTTGTTCTTGGCCTCTTTCTCGCAGTGATTTCTGTGGAGGCCGAGCTGACGCCTTCTAGATGTCATGTAAGAATTACTCTGATGTCAAAACGGGAAACTTGAAGTGTTTTAAGTGGCAGAGCGGCGAGGCTTTGTCCTGGTTTGAGGATTTACGTCATCCTCACGCCTTTTAAATATTATATTGCTGAATTATCACGTGATTTCTTCTAATTTTGACTTCAGTCAAAAACTGAACCCAAAACACTTCTAATCTGTTCTGACAAGACTTTTACCCCCGACTCTGCTCGACATTACAGCATCGATAAATCGTCACTATACAACCACAAACCCTAAAACTCGGGGGTCCACCTTCAGTCGAATTAGCTGTTAGAGTTGCAGTCAAACTGGGCATCAACATCATTTAAAGCTGTATTAAATTATTAGTTTGTACAAATTTGAAAGAACTTTTGGGCCATCCGGGGGCACAGCACCCTGTAAACATATCATTGATATTTATGGTCATATACGCGCATCATATTTGCTTCTATCTATTCATGCTTAAGGTCATCACAACAAAAGGCTTCTTCCCCAGACACTCCTGTCTGCCAACACTCCCTCAGACGTGGTTTGCAGATCCGGTATACACACCTGCAAACAACTCAAACAATCTCAGCTGTAATCAGAGCTAACTGAGAGAAAACAAACTCCAGCTAACAAAGTGGAAGGAGATGATAATGCTCCTAATTCCTCCTTACCACGTCCATTAAGAAGACTTCAGTTTTCCATTCCGGCATTCCTGTCTCCAGGATCATACTGTGCACGCATCCGTCCAGGTCTCAGATATGGAAACACAGTCGTGAGACGTGCAGCAGCAAAACAGACACACACCCCTCCCTGAACCCGATTGAAGCTGACTTAGGACCCAGTTGGACTTGATTTATCATTGTGTAGAGGCTTCAAACACACAGGAAATGTAGTCGGAATAAACAAACCTGTGTGGCACTGGGCCTTTACCCGACTAGCTGTCCTCCCTGAAGTTCAAAAACATGTTAAACTCATAGAAGACGTCTGAATAATGATGAGCTTTGACTGAAAAGTCAGAGGACACGTTTCCTCAATACTAACTCGGCAGATCTTCCTGGGAGGCAGCGCTGGTCCGACTTGCTGCCTGAGCGTGCGGGTACAACCACCAACTCCAACACAGTGATCCGGGACGCTGTGAGACCCATGTGGGTGTCTGATCAAGCCGTCTGGTAACCAAGTGAACAGCAGAAACGTTGGCGCCTATCAACCTTTCACTATTCAACCAAACTGAAGTCGATGCAGAGCTTAGCTCAGTGAGTGCTGAGGGCTGTAAACTCCTAGATTCATGGTTGGGGAAAAATGTTTTTTAGCTTTTAGTTTTTGTCAACCAGGACATTTTTACGACTGAGCAACCACATTTACCCAAAAACATCATCTGTGGACCTCTGGGGCTCTATTTAAAAGAAATAATATTCTCTCTGCTGTTTTGCCAGACTCCAAAACAAAGTCTCCTGCCCTCAGTCGAGTACAGTTCGCTCTGTCATGTTATCAGGGAAGTTTCCTGTTTTGATGCAGAGTAAAAACCTTCCTTTCACCCTATAACCTGCTCCCTGTTGGGCTCCAGTCCCACAACCTTTGGCTTAGATAATTCCTTGAAGTACTGCGAACACGCCCATGCCCGCCTCACAAAGCTGTCTTATTTTTCTTTATGAAGCTCTCACCGTTCTCTATTTTTCATCTATAGTTCTCATTTTCTGACTTCACCAACTGTTTCTCTGTGGTGAAGCTGAATGTGAGGACTGGCAGCAGACAGAAGTCATCGCGGCGAGGACATTTAAGGGCTTCCTCATTAGTGCATCTCTGTACCGAAGATGGAAATATACTGGAGAGACTTTTAATTGCCCCTAGTGTTTTTAGGCCATGATGAAATTAACAAAATTCAAGTCACACTTTCTGGAAGCAGAGCAAAATTATCCATCACAGGTCGAACCTCGAGATTCTTTTTTTTCCATTAGTGAAAAATGGTTATTAACCTAACTTAGCAAATGTGACCAAAGAGCTGGAGCCAGGCTTAGGAGGCCGGGAAAGGTAGTCGGACTCGTCATGGCACGCGTAGACTCGGAGCAGTGGATTTAGGTTTGTGTGGCGTTCGTAGGTGTTTTAAGTGCCTAACAGTACATATCTGTGGTGTACATTTACATTGAAACACTTGTCTGTCTTCGTGATTGATGCTTAAACACTGTTTTGGTCCTTCAGTTCCTGTCCTGGACCCACTGACACTGCAATTTGCTGTGATGTTTTGCACTGTACCGAGGAGTCATATCACATTGTCACATTTACGAGTGTGTTACTGTAAGGAAGCAGTCATTCAGTCGATGAAGGGTTGCCCTGTGTGTGGTCATTTTCCATCTTTTTTTATTTTTTTTTGTGAGAGAGAGAGTTTGGAGTTAGAGGCTCTGACTTTTATTTAACTGAAATTGTGATACTGTAAAAATTCTGAAATAATACCAAGCTTTTCTTCAACTGCTCACTTTGTTTTTGCTGCTGTTTGCACTCGTCAGCTATGCTTAGTCTGTACAGCTGTCAACATCAAAGATGAAGGGTGACACTGACCCGACGGAAACCTGTTACAGAGCAAAGGCTTTTATTGTGAAAAACCTTTTTGCAAAAGCCTGCGGATCGCGTTTGGTTATCATGTTACAGGTTAGCGGCCTTGTAGTGATTCTTGCCCACAAATATAGATGGAAACATTTAGTGCCACCATATAAACGACACCAAAACCCTTTAGTCTAAATAAAAATGAGCCATTTTCACACAAGCTCTCAGACTGCAAGGATGCAAATGTAAAGCTGAAGCCTCGGCCTCATTTATGACCCTGTTATGTTTTTACACAGGACTGATTTTGTATTGCACTAATTCTGTTTATCATACCTGACCTGTTTCATTTATCTATGAAAGATTTTTAAATGATTCTAATGTCTTTTTGTCTTTGATGCAGACAAAGAGTGAAAATAGCTGTGTGGCCTAACTTTTGGCGTCCCGTATTTGCTTCAAGCCTTACGCAGCAGTAAATCACAGCGCTCGTTCTGTTAGCGCTGATTCACCACAAACATCACAATGTAGTTGTTAAACTCTTTGCTCCACCACGAGGCCAATTCCTCTAAACGACACTCTGTAGGAGAAGCGGTTTAAAAAGATGTGGCAGCATTTTTACCCACAGAACTGTACGGCCGGGGTTATAAATGAGGCCACTCAGTCACCTGAAGGTTAAACACAGTTTACTGTGAGTGTAGAGCTGACTAACTGGTGATTGGCTGTCAGGAGATAGGCGGCTTCCTGTTGTCCGCTCAGTGCGAGGGCAGCCTCGGCCAGCGCCCTGACCTGAGTTCACGTGTGAAAATGGCTTCAGTCGGCGTGACTGAACGTCTGCCGAGAGCTTGTACAACTTTAAGTGGGTTTAGTGTTAAAATCAGTGGGAAAACTTTAAGTTCATGGTTGCAATTCAGAGGAGATTAAATTAAATATTTTATAGCTGCCACTGTTTGCACAATATGAACCCATAAAAGACAGAATTATGACATTCCTGGAAAATCATTCTCGATTGCACGCCGCTTTCCAAACATGTCCACACAATGTGCACATGGTAAATTGCATTTTTTTAGTAGTTTCACAGATTTTTTCCAAAAAATAATTGAAAAAAATTCTTTAGATTTGTGTTGAAGAAATAATTTTAATTTTGTAGTTTTGCTTGTTCTGCCAAAACACAAGAATATGAATAATGTATGCAGCTAAGTAATGGGACACGTGCTACTGACATACAGAAAGAAGCGGGAGAGTCACTTTATGTGGTTGCATCAAGTTCTTCATAACTTAAAGCTACTTTAGTTTCTCTTACACTGAAAATAAACATTTTATTCAATTATATATTTGGGTTTCCACAAAGAACAGTTGTACAGACAGCACACACACACACACACACACACACACACACACACACACACACACACACACACACACACACACTAATGAGAAACACAGCAGGTTTTGTCTGAGACCCTTCTAACTCCACGCAACTCTTTGTTTCCTCTGCTCAGCGCTGACATTTCTGGTCCACAGTTGATTCATGTTCACTTTTCAATAGGCTGTAATGAGAAAAGAGTCGAGTTTAATCACACGTCACATGGGATTTTCCTCTGTGTGTGTGTGTGTGTGTGTGTGCGTGCACATTTGTCTGTCCCATCGTTGTGCTGGCCAGAGAGCTCTGCTATCTTTACTCTGCTCTTCCTCTTTGGGAAGATGCTGCCAGATAAAACAGTCATCATGCTTCTCCTCCTTCGTCAGAGCTGCACCCAGAGAACGGTTTTCCTTTTTGTTTCAGTGCTCCTTTATACATGCCTGCCTGCATGTGGGAATTCCCATCCATGAGTCTAATTGTGGCCCGCTCTCACCTGCTGAGTAAAGCTTTGTCGCTGTGCATCAGCAAGGGTAGGATGTCCGAGTGGAAACTGTCCTTAGTGAGCAATCTGTTTTCACATCCCTCCACAATTCACCCTCTTAACCTCCAAGTTCATCCGTGCAGCGTCCAACAGCAGGCATCCGTTAAATCCAGTAGACGATTGTTCTTTACTGGAACGTCACACACTTATTTATTTCGTCTTTTTTTGATTTTGAATGTCAGACAGAGAATCAGGAAATTTTGCTCACCTTCTTCCTCGTCCTCCAAATGCGTCAGCAGATGAATGAAATGCATCAAAAAAGCCTGCTTTGTGTGGGAGGCTCCTCCGGGCCTTTGGACGTGCGTTCGGCCGGATTATATCGAGTGTAAATCTGTCGTCTGTGAACCGTGCTGAGCCGTCTGTCGAAAACTACAACGAGACTTGTGAACCGTGGCGCTTTCTGTTTCTCAGTCGCAGGTGGTAAACTGCTGGTACACACAGCTGTATGTGATGTTTGCGGTGTTGTGTTCCTTTATTCGGGGAGGGGGGGTGGGAGGTTGCAAAATAATCCAGAGATGCTACTGTATGTGGAAGAGAGCCTTTTTTGTTGCTTTCGGGTGGGTTCGGGGTGTCGGGATGCTGTGCCCCATGGGAAGTGAAGTTCTCAGTATATTTACACGTCTTTTAAGCCTCTGCTAAAGACTGATGACTGTTCATTTAGAGCTCAATGAATTTCTATAAATATTTTAAATTGCTCAAACTGATTGTGTGCAATTGTAATGATGGAAATTCAATAAAAAGGTATTTTTACACAATAAGCTCCGTTTGCTCTGTTGTTACAATTAGTTCTAGAAGGTGAAAGGTCATGGAGGCAGAGATGGCAGACAGTTTTCAATGGGACCGTTTGGTTTAACACAAACGCTACAACTGCATTTATTATACAGAACACTTGGTTAACTTTAAAATTAGGCTAAAACACTAAAATGCTCGTATTCATTTTGCATGGCTTTGCAGACAACAGGGCATCTTTCATTTAAATTGCAGTTGACTGCAGCAACCTGCGAGCAGGTAAGGAAACTGCAAGGAGGAGGTTTTTGGAGCTGCACCTCTTTGCAACCAGTTTCACCTACAGCAGCTGCCAACAACCACTCACCAACCAGACGTGGATACACACTTCTCGCAGGTAACTGCCCGCCACATGCTCAGTGACCTGTTTCTCTAGAACGCTGTGTGCAGTGATTGCATCAGTATGATTAATGCATGCAGCTTGATAACCAAGCTTACTAATATTAGCTGCTAACTTTAGCCCTTCCAAGAATGCCCAAGAAAGAGGAAACTCCTCAAAGCAGACGCAAAGGTTACTGGAAAGGTTTTACATCTTGTCTGGAGGAAAACCACTGAGGCGAAGGATGTCCGCTGTCACCACGACTCCACTTCAGATAAATGGAAGGCAATGGATAGATTGCGACGGAAAGCCGCTTAGTAATAACTCTGCTTCCGAGAAGTACTTCTTGCTACTATATAAAGAATCTAGCATGATTGTAACCATAGAACATTTTCTGTTACAAACATGCAACATGGAAAGAAGCAGGACAAAAGTCTGACATCTTATAAAGAAATGGATCTGAGCCCAGACCCCCCTGATTAAGTTCTCTCAGGTTCAGGTGAAGCATCTATGCTCAAAAAAATGAAAGGAAGACTTTAATCAGAGTACAGCATCAAGCTGGATATTGAGCTGGTCAGTTAAGTAGCAGAGGGGATTGTTTACCAGTTTCAGATGCTTTGGTGTCAATGGAATTAACATGTGCACTCGAGGGGCAATGATGAGACAACCACCAAAAAAGGAATGATTCCTGCCTTGTCTTTTCTGACTGTTTTTTTTGTTTGTTTGTTTGTTTTTTAAACTAGTTTTGCATTTGGTTAGTATCGGTGTTACTACTGGTAGCATGAGGTGATACCTAGACCCGAGATTGCACAGATCTCTCCAACTCATCCAGGATGGCTCATCAATACTTGCCATTGCCAGAAGGTTTGCTGTGTCTTTTAGCACAGTCTCAAGGATGAACAAGGTGAGCAGTGCCAGAGCTACAAAATGACCTCCAGCAGGACACCGGTATGAACGACCAAATGATCAGAAACAGACTTCATGAGGGTGGCCTCAGGTCCGATCATCCACTAGTGCTCATCCTCAGGGCTCTGTGCTCCTGACCAGCACCATGCAGACATGAGTGTACACATTAGTTTTGACCCTCTCACTGAGCTAACACAGCCAGTCCCTCAGCATGTTTGTGCTCTCTGCTCATATTACCTTCATGTTAAATCACTTTTTGCTTTTTAAAGAACTTATTTTAACTCAGCAACAAACAAAAAAGGAACTTCAAGGGCAAAATTGCGTTATACCTCTTCACTTCGATATGTAGTCTGCAAGTAGGGTCGACGTGGGCCGCAAGTTTGAGACCCCTGGTGTAAACAGAACAGGAGCAGGGTGAAGAGAGACAGCCAGAGAACGTTTTTTTGTCCTGCCTCTGGCCACGCTTCTGCTAAATGGAGTTTAGTATTTAGTTTGATTAGTTTAGGGATCAAGTGATCATTCCTCTTAGATTGAACCAAATTGTGAAGTTGGAGAGTTGTCGTTAGACTCATTTTTTGAACCCATTTGTTAGACACTTTTGAAAAGGGTGAAGGAAAAGTTGTTTTCTGTTTGAAGACAGTTTGAAGCTCGTCAGCGATGGCAGGAATTCTGCGAATAGTGAAGTATCTGATTTTAAAGGGGCTTCCACAATAAATGTGTACTTTGATTTTCTAATCTACTGTAGGTCTGTAAACTGATTTAAATTTGTCTGCAGACGTCTTCAGGATGTTCTTCTTGTTCAGCTTTACAACACTTTCAGTTACACATGGAGCTCCTCTAGTATATCAAAGCAATGACCCTTCGACAGGAATTGAATTTTGAAGAAGACGACAAAGTCGTATTGAGCCAAATCTGCTGAGTAGCGTGGCTGATGAGAGATATTTAAAACCACAAGATGCTCTGACATGTAAAATCAAGAAAAAAATTTCCTATTCTGCTCTATTTCTAGATCACAAATTAAATTGAAGCGCATTAGTGCCACTGACCACGTTAACTCCACTGGACAAGAGGTCATATTCGCTTGAGTTGTATCCTTCTATTGATGCAGCATTCAGATGATGCTCAGGCGGATCTGATCTACTCATCAGCGGCGTATTAGTATCGCATTGTGATATAGTTGAAAACATGGCAACTAAGTTTAAGTATTAGTTTGTTATTTGGAGCAAACAGGGGGTTTATGAGCATCTGATCATTGCTAAGCTGAAGGTTTCTATAGGGACAATGCTTGGACTGCTAAAGGCTTTATCGGATCAGCTAAATCAAATGCATGACCAGAGTGTCAGTACGTCGAGCTTTATTCACTGAGAAATAGAAAAAAGAACTTCATTGGGGATTACGGACGAAAAGTTCTGCCAAAAGAAGGCAGGAATCAAGGACAAAAGCTCGAGGTTCTCAGAGACCACCGACATACCAGTTCATAATGGAAAAAATGTCCTATTTACTCATAAATTCTAGTTTGAGTTTAGTGACCACAATAAAAATGGAGATGCAACAGTGGAACAAGCCCACATTGAAACACGGTGGTATCTTCTATCTCGATTCGGACATCTGGACTGGAATTACGGACATTTCCTTTTTACGATTCCTCATAAATGTGATCTGATCTTTGTCTAACCCTGAATAACAGACAGACACTCTCTCAATAAATTACATACAAACAGTTATACTTTGCGTATCTTTACTGAACACAGTGAGAAATGATTCGCTGTCCAGCCTGAGCTACAAATTCTTCAAAAGCGTCTTAGAGTCAGATGTTACAAATGAAACTCAAATTAATTCACCGGTTCAAAACAACAGTCACCTCTAGTATACTTTTGTAAAGTAAAGACCCTACAATAAGGGAGAGAAAATCCCAATATCAGATAACGGCCTATGAGCAAACACTTGGTGACAGCAGGAAGGAAAAACTCTTTTCACAGGAAGAAACCTGATCCAGCCCTAACTACATGCTTTTAAACAACTGAAGGCTCTGCCTCCCATTCTACTTTTAAATACTCTACAAGTAAGCCTGCAGTCTGAGAGCAAGGTGCTCTAATGGGGTGATACGGCACTATGAGGTGATGGATGAGATGTGTGAGCTACTGAAGTGTCCCTCCCATAACTAAAGTCGTACAAAGTTACTAACAAACTCTGCTTATTTCCAGAACTGGATGAAAAACTTGATCTCAACAGCTTTCAAAAGATCTTTAGAAGATTCGTTAGAGATGCATCAAAATCTCTAAGAGGCATTTTTTTTCAAAATAAGACAAACTCTCTACAAATAATGTAGTTTTGTCATAAAGATCATACTGAGATCAAAACATGTAATCTAGAAAAAGATAAAAATAAATAAATAAATAAAAAAACACCTCTAGAAGTCTTACCATAGCTTTCATGTGTACACTCTTAAACAGTGAATAGGACTGATGTTAATGGAAGGACACCACA